ATACTGCTATATGTTTACTGTACAATTACGACACCATACATTACTCTGCACACTGCACCATGCCAGTGAGTGGAACGCGGTCTGAAAGTCACCGTAAACGTGAACACAATCAGTTAAGATCCGAAATGGTTTATTACGTCCTTCCAATGATTGCTAAGCCAGAATCCATCTTCTCGGTTGAAATTGTCCCTGTGTTTGTATATGTGGATCGCCTCATGAACGAATCTCTCATGATAGCCAGATGGCTTGCAGAGAACCTCTGTCTTGGAGAAGTCAATGTCATGTGAGCCCACTGAATTGTAACAGTGATCTGCCACGGCTGAGGGTTTGTCCTACCGTGTTTCAGGTCTGCCTTATGTTCACGGATGCGGTCTGAGACATGTCGTTTGGTTTCTCCAATGTAACTGCTACCACAGAGGCAACTTAGTTTGTAGACGCCAGGGTACTGTATGTCTGGAACCACATCTTTTACAGACGGGACCAGATCACGGATTTTATGTACTGTGTTGAATCGGACCTGGATCTTGTGTTTAATCAGGATTTTGGAGATCTTTTTTGTGACCCCAGCAATGTAGGGTAAGGTGATGGTCTTGAAAGGCTCCTCAACAGGATCCTTCCAAAATCCTGATTAAACACAAGATCCAGGTCCGATTCAACACAGTACATAAAATCCGTGATCTGGTCCCGTCTGTAAAAGATGTGGTTCCAGACATACAGTACCCTGGCGTCTACAAACTAAGTTGCCTCTGTGGTAGCAGTTACATTGGAGAAACCAAACGACATGTATCAGACCGCATCCGGGAACATAAGGCAGACCTGAAACACGGTAGGACAAACACCTCAGCCGTGGCAGATCACTGTTACAATTCAGTGGCGTCACATGAGACATTGACTTCTCCAGAGACAGAGGGTTCTCTGCAAGCCCTCTGGCTATCATGAGAGAAATTCCGTTCATGAGCGATCCACATATACAAAACACAGGGACAATTTTCAACCGAGAAGAGGGATTCTGGCTTAGCAATCATTGGAATGTACATTACATAAACATTTCGGATCTTAACTGATTGTGTTCACGTTTACGGTGACTTTCAGACCGCGTTCCACTCACTGCATGGTGCAGTGTGCAGAGTAATGTATGGTGTCGTATTAGTAACAGTAAACATATAGCAGTATGATACACATTAGGGTGGGTAGAATAATACATAGTGTTATAATTAAAATGGATATGGCAGCAACTGCAGCAGCAGCAGCAGCAAGTGTCAGCAGCAGCAGTAAGTGCGCAGGCAGCAGCAGCAACTGCAGCAGCAGCAGAAACTGCTGCAGCAGCAGTAACTGCAGCTCCCTTTGATGCTGTTAATCCTGCATAATGCACATGCATATGCAGTACTAATCACATTCCTGCATTTCCCATAAATATGTTAAATTCCTTTTGATATGCAAATTCATTTGTCAATGCGCCCAGCTTATATATATGCTCCAAGCTCGTGTGCTGTTTCATTCAGACTCTGTCGCCTCGACGGACCTGGTTTTCACCTGAGGACGGCTGCTTGCGTTGTGGCCGAAACGTCGTGAGAATTGTTTTATTATGTTTTATTTTATTATTTTATTACTTCCCTTCTACGTGACTTTACCGAAAGAACCAAGAAGATGAATCCCTGCAGTCACGAAAGCTTTAAATCGAAAAAGCTCGCTCCCCTGATTACCCGAATGACGGGATGTACCGGGGTTTCACGAGGCTCGCTCCCCTGATTACCCGAATGACGGGATGTACCGGGGTTTCACGAGGCTCGCTCCCCTGATTACCCGAATGACGGGATGTAACCGGGGTTCACGAGGCTCGCTCCCGGGGGCGTGATTACCACCGAATGAGCGGGATGTACCCGGGGTTTCATCGAGGCTCGCTCCCTGATTACCGACCCGAATGACGTGGATGTATCGGCATCCGCACATGTAAAACACAATACCACTGGCCAGCAGCCTTCAAAACCCATCCGAACTCGACCGTGTCCCGTGGAGCCACGTCACGCTCGCTCGCCAAGGCCCTGGAATCCCCACATAGATCATCAAGTGAACTTATTTCATGGGTCAATTGTGATGGGGCAAATTTGTCCTCTGCTGTTTTAGCTGTGTTGATAAACCACAATACAGAGATCCCCCTGTATAGCCTTTTCGCAGACTGTTGAGATCAGGTGCTGCTTGTAAGCACCTATGAAGGCCAGCACAGCACACGAGGGGGGTTGGGTGGTCAGACCACATCGGTTGCCTTTTGTGTCCCCAGTGAATGATGGGTACATCAGTACCAGGGCATTCATTTATTGCTGACATGACCTACGGGAGGCCCCAGGGTCGTTTCAAAACACAATCACACCGCTTATTCGTCGTGAGCGGTAATCAAAGCCGGGGTCGCCGAGTTCCTAGCGCAGCATGCTAAACACTGCGCTGCCCAACGTCCCCCCACCACTGTGCGATAAACCACTCTCAACGTGCACCACGCCCTACGGCCTCGTCCCTCTTGTCCTCCGCGTAACCGGCTGTGGCATTGGCATTGGATTTCGGAGTCTCGATATTTCCCATAATTTAAAATGGATCTGTTGTTTCTACTGAACAAAAAAAATCCATTTAAGATTTTTCGGTCGAAAACTTCGGAGGATGATGTCACGGACCCTCTACCGCAAACCTCAAACCGGGAAATAACGGGCGGTGTCACAACTGCATGACAAAAACTACATCGTTAGATTGAGAGTTAGCGATACTTGACGTTGCTGCCAATGAGTGCTGGCGAAAGTCAATTTGAGAACGCAGCAAAACGACTGCAACTTCAAACGCCACACAGACAGCCGCAGGTGCTGGTGACCTTTGGACCCCAGGCAGAAACGGCCTCATTTCCATCACCCGCTACGCTGACGTCGGCACTCTCCACGAGCTTTGGGCAGGATGCCACAATAAAGACTGCTTTACGGACGGCTTTACTGCCGTAGAGAGGGCCCAGGGTTCTGCTTTGCTGCCCGTATAGAACACGGTCGTTCACAGCACTCACAGGGAACTCTTCACTGTGATCAATCACTGCAATAAATGTGCTTCAATACGAGAGGCATGCTTTTGTTTGCATATAGTAAAAAATGATTGAAAACTATGACTCAATAATAAAAGTCTATCAAGAGATGATAGTATATTCTCCGTGTTGGTGCAAGAAGGTACTGTACAACCAACCACCGTACTTGCCTCCTCTTCTATTATAACTTTGACGGTGCTGTTTGTTACTGGCTGATGGATGTTAGGGGCCTGTACTCAGCAACTGCAACGTGTTTCTGTTGCGTTTCCCATTGCTGAAGTCGCGTGTGTGTGTGCCTGTTCAACTCTTCCCCGTGCTGCGGTGAAGCGTTTGTATTTCCCCCGTGCCAACTGTGCCAACTGGCACTGATGGATCGCCATCTCAATCACTTGACCCAAAAACTCCCGCACACCTGACCCTGGCCTCCAGCCAGAGCCTCTGACACTTCCAAGGTGACGTCAGCCAGCGGTGACATCACCTTTGTGGTGAATGGCGGCCGTCGTATTTCTGTCTCTGCGTGGCTCTGTCTGGAGTTTACTCCAGCCTGTTTAATTGTGCCCTTGTGTTTCTTACCTTCCTCTATGTGTGACTTGTTTATGTCTGTTTCTCGCTCTATGATTCACTTCTCCACGTCTATGTTTAACTGCGATGCCTCTCTCCGTGGCGTTTACCCTCCGTGCATTTAAACCTCCGTGCGTTTAGCCTCTGTGTACATCGCCACTGCTCGGGTTTCTGGGACGACGTCAACGTGCGTTGCTTTCCATTAATGTACACATTTTTCTATTTCCTCACTGATCTTCTCCGTCTGATCCTCGACGGCATCTTCTCGTACACCCTCTCTATGCCGAGCTTCTCTTCATCTTCACGTAAATCTCACACTCACTCATCGCCGTCATCAGGAGCCATGACCAAACTACCTGCGATGTTGCGGTGCCTCAAATCGTCTCGCTGTGCAGATGAGCTACTCTCCTCGCTCCACCCCTGCGTGGGTGGTTATCTTCTTGAGCTCGTTCCCGTCGTGTTGTTGCTATTCTGTCACCATGTCTCGTCCATCGACCATCAACTTTCATTGCCATCTATGACAGATGCCGGCTAACGGAGCACTCCGGATGGTTAAGTGCCAGATAACAGAGCTTTTCCCTCTTGTTATTAACAGTCGTACAACAACGCTTCACGATTTTTTTTCCATTGAGGGTTCATTCCACAATGAACATTTTCACTTCTCTTGGGCGGTGACGCTGCCCAGTGGTGGGTAGCGTGTTTGCCGCTTGTTATAGACGTTCACGGTTCGATCCAGTGGCCACCCCGGTCACATTGCGGTGTGTGTTGACCGTAACAATGCCAACGCGCGCGTCTGCTTTATGGTGGACGTTAAAGATCAACCGCTACATCATTCGCAAGAGTAGGTCCATTTGTGTGCCCGCGTTCAGGGTCTAAATTGGTACATTTGAAAATCACCCTGCAAATTAACTCAATTGAGATGACACACGATTAAAAACGATTAAACTAAAACTATCTAAAAAATATTTTAGAAGGTAAGGCCCACTGAACTATAGAGAGCTCTTTTTCAGAAGCGACCTGGCCACAACAAAGTGGCTTACCACCTTGTGGGAATCTATAGCAGCTAAATACTCTAAACGCAATGTTTCTAAACATCAAGGGACCCGGATAAAAATCCATGCAACCAGCAGGTACAACATGCAAAATCCAAATATACAGGTGTCAGGTCAGGATAGGGATCAAACCCACGACCTCCTGATACCAGGTGAGGTGGTTAACATCTCACCACCATGGCCACAGCAGCAATCATCGCCCCCACTGGCAGACTGATGCCCCAAGTCACTGTTACAAACGAGACTCATTCATCCTGGTCTCTTGAGATCCCACCTCGTTACACTCAAAGCTCTCTAGACTTCGTTTAATGGACAGCAGTGGACGTGCAATAGCGGCCGTACGTGGGGTAGACATCTTGGTAAAAGGGCTCCTGCATGATGCCGGCTGGAATGTACATCGTGTTGAGGCTCTCGTAGTAGTAGAAGGCATCCACGGTCTGCGGTGGGGCCCTGTGTGAGACAAACACAGCCATCAGCAAAGCGACCTCACGAGACACACCGCTAACTAATAGGGGTTTTCCACTTTTTTCTGGCAACAAAACTGACACCTTTTACAAGGAATCATGTTTACATTAACCACAATACTTGCAGTCAAAATGCAAACAAAAAACAATACTCTGAAAATTTATGAATTGTCCTTGAAACTCATTGGTCCACACCAGAGACAGCTTTCCTTAGAGCCTAGTCTCATATGGTGTTCGACCAGATGATGCCAAAAGTTTCAAGGACAATGCATAAATTATCAAAGTATTGTGTTTTGTTTGCATTTTGACTTCAAGTATTGTGGTTAATGTAAACATGATTCCTTGTAAAAGGTGTCAGTTTTGTTGCCAGAAAAAAGGGGAAAAAACCCTATTAGTATATTTTGGTACTGGCAAAGGAGGCCTCATGATGAGACAGCCGCTGCTTGGCGGCTTTCCTCGCGGCCATTTCCCAAATTGTTGTTCCCGAGCGAGAGAGAGGAGGACCGTACGCCCATTGTGGCTCGATTATGTTGCAGGCCAGGACTCCTACGTTTCCATTTCAACCCCCCCCCGGCAATACACGCGAACGCGATTCGCAGCTACGTCTCTGCCATTTACCCCCTGGCGGGGTAGTGGCAGGTCGTTAAACCCTTCTCACATTCCACAGCTGTGGAACTGCGCAACGAAACATTCGTACTGAATTAGTTGGCATGGAATTGAAAACCAGGATATCTGCTTTCATGCAAGCATTGTTGGTTCCGTTTTAGTTTGGATCCCAAAATATTGGACGAGCCCATTTTTTTATAATTCACATGATTCTGATCTTACGTCACCACAACTAAACACACACATATTCTGAAAGATTGAGGACAAGAGGGATGCTAATGGCAGGTTTAAATGAAAACAACATTTGCAACATCTTATGAGATTAAGAAAATTGTGTGCGGTAAGGCAGTCTGCCGCCAAACGTAAGCCGACATTAGTTTATATAAATGCTTCTGAATTATTCATGACTTTTTTTTCCACCAAAATTAAGAGCAGAATGTAACTTTTAACAAAACGTGGCCGTGTGTCGATGTTGAATTCAGTCATGGATAATCCCGAGCCACCGGTGAGAAGCAGCTTTGTCGGTCAGAATGTGATCAACGTGTTGGCAAACGTGCGAACAAGACATCTGTGTCAACGTGACGATCTTGTCGGGCGGGGGAGAGTTGATGACAAGAATGATGGCATTAAACTACCACCACGTGGCCAAACCCAAGCACCAATACTGATCATTAAAATGCCATCTTTCACATTTTTAGACATAAAACTCATGATATTGATAATTAAAGCCCTGTTGAGAATGTTAATAGTACTTTTATTACCCATCTGTAATGCTTATCCAAATGTAATGCTTTGAAACATGTTACTAAAACACATTTAATATTCTGTTGTTTAGATTTGTGAGTGTCTCACAGTTGCTCAGCACAGGCACCAAGGCCAGCAATGTACAGCACCATAATAAACCTTGACTTAAAGCTTGCGTGACTCGCAGGAATTCATACTCTTTGGGTCTTTCGGTAAAGTCACGTAGATAGGTTCAAAGAAAATAACAAAAAACTACGACATTTCCATCGCAACACAAGTGGTCATCTTCAGGAAAAGGGGGGTTAGCTTCCAAAGGCAAACTGTTTATAATGGTTTGAAATGGGCATAGCCCAAATGTCAGTAGCCAATGACAATGCGAGTGGTGGGCAGCCAACCCGATGGTGGTCGGTTCACCATGTTAATGGCAAATAGTCAGGAATGTGAGCGACTCGATCAAATGAGGCTGCTGTCTCATCTGGGTGAGTGTGTAGTTGTGACCTGCGGTGTGGTGGGTGGATAGGTGGGTGGGTGGGTGTGTAGTTGTGACCTGCGGTGTGGTGGGTGGATAGGTGGGTGGGTGGGTGTGTAGTTGTGACCTGCGGTGTGGTGGGTGGATAGGTGGGTGGGTGGGTGTGTAGTTGTGACCTGCAGTGTGGTGGGTGGATAGGTGGGTGGGTGGGTGTGTAGTTGTGACCTGCGGTGTGGTGGGTGGATAGGTGGGTGGGTGGGTGTTAGTTGTGACCTGCGGTGTGGTGGGTGGATAGGTGGGTGAGTGGGTGGGTGGGTGTGTGTGTAGTTGTGACCTGCAGTGTGGTGGGTGGGTGGTTGGGAGAGTGTGTTGTTGTGACCTGCAGTGTGGTGAGTGGGTGGGTGAGTGGGTGGGTGGGTGGGTGAGTGTGTTGTTGTGACCTGCAGTGTGGTGAGTGGGTGGGTGAGGTGTGTTGTTGTGACCTGCAGTGTGGTGAGTGGGTGGGGGGTGGGCGAGTGGTGGGTGGGTGGGTGAGTGTGTAGTTGTGACCTGCAGTGTGGTGAGGTGGGTGGGGTGGTGAGTGAGGGGTTGGTGGGGGAGTGTGTAGTTGTGACCCTGCAGTGTGGTGAGTGGGTGGGTGGTGGGTGAGGAGTGGGTGGGTGGGTGAGTGTGTAGTTGTGACCTGCAGTGTGGTGATGTGGGGGTGGGTGGTGAGTGAGTGGGTGGGTGAGTGTGTAGTTGTGACCTGCGGTGTGGTGGGTGGATAGGTGAGGGGGTGGGTGGGTGTGTTGTTGTGACTTGCGGTGTGGTGAGGGGTGGGTGGGTGAGTGTGTTGTTGTGACACTGCGGTGTTGTGGTGAGTGGGTGGTTGGGTGTGTTGAGTGTGTTGTTGTGACCTGCAGTGTGGTGAGTGGGGTGGGTGGGTGAGTGGGTGAGGGTGGTGGGGTGAGGGTGTTGTTGTGACCTGCGGTGTGGTGAGTGGGTGTTGGGAGAGTGGGTGGGTGGGTGGGTGTGTAGTGATGAGGACGCGACCTCACCACCGGTGAGGCAAGTGACTCGAGTGAACCAGTGAGTTCACTCCTCAATAACACAAGTAGCTACCATCTTAAGTGCACCAAAACATATTTTAGTCATGCATATGCAGAACATTAAGAATAATTGTCAAAATCGTACATACCTCCATTTCATCTTGCCGGTCCACATGGTTCGTATGGTCCTTATGGATGTGTAATTGTAGAAATTGACCATGGTTTCAAAGAATCTGCCTTCAACAACCTTGAACTGTTTTCAGAAAGGAAACACGCGCACTGTGCATCAGCGCCGGCAGCGGTGAGTGGCATTTAGGTGGCCCAGTGGCAGCGCTTCACCGCTCGTTGCAGAGGTTCACGGTTGGAGCCCGGCGGTTGTCCTGGTTATTGCTGTGGTGTGGCGTGACCCTGAAAATACTACGCACCATCTTCTTCACCCACAGTGGATGGTTAAGATCCCGTGAAGTATTTCCACTCACAGTAGACAGTTAAGATCCCGTGACGTTATTCACTCACAGTAGACAGTTAAGATCCCGTGATGTCATTCCCAAGAGCAAGCCCTCGGTGTGTGTGGTCACGGCTCAAACTTGCAATGTTTGAAAAAATGACGGCCGCAAATTGCTCTATTAGGACACTCAGCAACCATCGTCCTCCTGCTGCGACAACTTGGCTGGGCCCTCCTGAAAACGAGTCATGAGGACCCATTGAGGCTTTCATTGGGTAAAACGAGCATGAATGATGATGGTGGCCATCATAATTAAAATGAAGAGGGGACAGTTTTCCTGTGCCGGAGAACGACTCAGGGAGCGCACAAGCTGTGGAGTCGCGGGAAGATGAGGTTTCCTGCACCCCAGTGCAATGAGCAGGGGGTTGCACACACAATGTTTTAGTGGTAGGTAGACCGCATGACAAAAACCCACAACAACTCGAAGGTTTAACGTGCACAAACAAATCGTTAATCGTGAAAAGCTAAAACGCATTGGCAGTGAAACCTATGAGATGAAACTGTAGGGGAGCTAACGTTAATCATCAAAATGTAATAATGTTTAATTATTACATTCTGATGACATTTAGAAGCCAAGTACATCTAATAATAAACTAAAGAATTACAATTTGACAGTTACAATAGAATAATGCAAAAGCATCGCGAGAGTACAGTTTAAGTCACCATCACTGTCAGGTAGAGGGAGAAGGCCGAAGCTAAATCGATTTTGTGACAGGCCTCCAAAATGATTCCCTTTGTAAAGTAACTGCCAAGCGGCCTGACTCTCACCTGTTTGACTATAGCGCGTGACCAGGGCACGTGACCAGGGTGCATGACCACGGCTCGTGACCACGGATCGTGACTACGGCTCGTAACTACGGATCGTGACCACGGCTCGTGACCACAGCTCGTGACCACGGTTGTGTGACCATGGATCGTGACCATGGATCGTGACCACGGATCGTGACCATGGATCGTGACCACGGCTCGTGACCACGGATCGTGACCACGGCTCGTGACCACGGATCGTGACCACGGTTGTGTGACCACGGATCGTGACCACGGCTCGTGACCACGGATCGTGACCACGGCTCGTGACCACGGTTGTGTGACCATGGATCGTGACCACGGATCGTGACCACGGTTGTGTGACCACGGATCGTGACCACGGTTGTGTGACCACGGCGCGTGACCACGGCTCGTGACCACGGATGTGTGACCACGGCGCGTGACCACGGCTCGTGACCACGGCTCGTGACCACGGTTGTGTGACCACGGCGCGTGACCACGGCTCGTGACCACAGCTCGTGACCACGGCTCGTGACCACGGTTGTGTGACCACGGATCGTGACCACGGCTCGTGACCACAGCTCGTGACCACAGCTCGTGACCAAGGTTGTGTGACCACGGATGTGTGACCACGGCGCGTGACCACGGCTCGTGACCACAGCTCGTGACCACGGTTGTGTGACCACGGCGCGTGACCACGGCTCGTGACCACGGTTGTGTGACCACGGATCGTGACTATGGCTGCGTGACCACGGCGCGTGACCACGGCTCGTGACCACGGTTGTGTGACCACGGATCGTGACTATGGCTCGTGACCACGGCTCGTGACCACGGCTCGTGACCACGGTTGTGTGACCACGGGCGTGTGACCATGGTTGTGTGACCAGGGCTCGTGACTACGGTTGTGTGACCACGGATCGTGACCACGGCGCGTGACCACGGATCGTGACCACGGTTGTGTGACCACGGCGCGTGACCACGGATCGTGACTACGGCTGTGTGACCACAGCGCGTGGCCACGGCTCGTGACTACGGTTGTGTGACCATGGATCGTGACTACGGCTGTGTGACCACGGATCGTGACCACGGCTCGTGACCACGGTTGTGTGACCACGGATCGTGACCACGGCTCGTGACCACGGTTGTGTGACCACGGATCGTGACTACGGCTGTGTGACCACAGCGCGTGGCCACGGCTCGTGACTACGGTTGTGTGACCATGGATCGTGACTACGGCTGTGTGACCACGGATCGTGACCACGGCTCGTGACCACGGTTGTGTGACCACGGATCGTGACCACGGCTCGTGACCACGGTTGTGTGACCATGGATCGTGACTACGGCTGTGTGACCACGGATCGTGACCACGGCTCGTGACCACGGTTGTGTGACCACGGATCGTGACCACGGCTCGTGACCACGGTTGTGTGACCACGGCTCGTGACCACGGTTGTGTGACCACGGGCGCGTGACCACGGTTGTGTGACCACGGATCGTGACCACGGCTCGTGACCACGGTTGTGTGACCACGGCGCGTGACCACGGTTGTGGACCACGGCGCGTGACACGGCTGTGTGACCACGGCGCGTGACTACGGTTGTGTGACCACGGTTGTGTGACCACGGCGCGTGACTACGGTTGTGTGACCACGGCGCGTGACTACGGTTGTGTGACCACGGTGTGTGACCACGGCGCGTGACTACGGTTGTGTGACCACGGCGTGTGACTACGGTTGGTGACCACGGTTGTGTGACCACGGCTCGTGACTATGGTTGTGTGACCACGGCTCGTGACTACGGTTTTGGACCACGGCGCGTGACCACAGCTGGGTAGTCCTCGCGCACCAGCTTCATCAGTGTACAAACGGCACAACAAACCGGAGCCCGGAGTTATTGATTTTTACGCATTTGCTTATTTATTTAGCAAAGCCTTCTGGCTTACCCTAACTTCTGGCTAACTCGAGGTCTGGCTTTGAGAGGTTTTACTGGACTATAGAATAAATGACTTTCAAGCAAAAATAGTACGATGTGAAGATCACAACTGCCAGGAGCTTCCCCCATACGCACATCTTGGTAGATATCATCACATTCGAGACATCTTCATGTAGTCATCCTCACCAACCGCAGACTGGATGTTTTTGCCTGAAACAAAGCGGACGCATGCAAATGCATTGATATCATTCCACTCTTTGGTGGTGGTGGTGGCAAGCCACGTCTACAGAACAAACGTTATTCTGGGCTGTTCACCTTGAACGTTTAGCCACTTAAACAAATTTGAAGGCGAACATTTTAGAGCAATTTGAAATGTGGTTTTCTTCAGGGCCAATTAGCACAATTGGCTACGTACAATGTGAAAATAAGTCAGATACATACGTACAATGTAATTGCTGTTGAACAGACCAGAGTAGTTAACAAACTTCATAATGTAGGAGTCACTGCGAATCAAGGAATTTGATTGGATAACATTGGTGACCATGGCAATGTGTTGGATATGTTCCACAGCACGTAAAAAGACAATTGTTCAGAAGTTTCTTGCTAAAAGTGCCCAACCGTACACTGGAATACCAACACAGCTCCATTGACATTGTGCCGGACCTTGGAGAGTGTGGGGCAATCGACTCGGTGTACATGGTCATCCAAGCTCTTACAGAGCAATGCCTAAATGAAAACGCAGAAACGGCAACACCGTCCCCAAGAATGATCACACCAAGTTTACTCAAAGTAGTGGGTCGTATAAACAAGGGGAGTCGGACCGGGCGGTGCGTCCCAGACACTTTCAAGGTGAAATTAGAAGACGTTT